GTATTTCATCAGTCCATTTATTAGTTGAGTTGTTTGATATCTTATTTAGATGGGATCTCACTGTGTAGCCTTGGCTGGTCTAGAACTTGATATGTAGACCAGGTTGGCCTCAAATTATAGAGTTACTGGCCTCTGCCTCCTAACTGCTGGGATTAGAGACAGTGCTACTTTGCCCAGCTGAATTATTTGATTTCTTGTTTGAAGTTTTGAGTTTTTAAATATTTTAGATCTTAATCCTTTTAAATATGTAACTAGCAAAGATTGTCTCCCATTCTGTAGATTCTTTACTTGAATAAAAATTATCTTGGAATTCTGCAGTGTCTTATTCTCTGCCCCTTGTCAGTTGTGGGTCTCCGGGTAATCAACATCTACTGCGAATAGAAGCTTGTCTGGTGAAGGTTGAGAGATGGTATCTCTTAGTATCTATCATGGGTAGGTCATTAGGAGTTGGTTTATCACTGTGCCCACTGAGTAGCATAATAGTCGAAGATTCTCCCTGGGTGCCTATGATGTGTCTGGCCATCGGTTCTTGGCCTTATAATGGTGCCAGGTATGGGTTTCATCTTGTGGAGCGGGATTTAAAGTCCATTGGAAAGTGGTTGATTGCTCCCATGATGTTCAGGCCACTATTGCACCAGTGAACATGTCTTGACAGGCCAGTCATTATTGTACCTTGCAGGGTTTACAGCTAGGTAAGATTTCTCACAACCCTCCAGTGACCACTGCCAAGGATTGCAATAGAATTCAGGACTCAGCAGAACCAGGGGACTCCGGGTTGTGCAGCACCAGAGTGCCTTTACTAGCATTCTGTGCAGCTTTTATTCCAGGTAACTCGAAGTTCAAAGCAGGCACAGAGAAACAGTGAACAACACACGGACTAGTTCTCCTCACTATCACCAGACGTGCTCAGATACAGGTCTCATGGCTGAGTGGGGGCTGCTTGCCTGAGGCTCTTGAGCATGCTAAACTGCTGAGGAGCAGGGACATTTTGCCTGTGGCATTCCTTGGGCAGGCAGAGGCATTCCTCCAAGGGGAGTAAACAAAGTTCTATGGGAACAGAATTCACACAGCAGGGTAGTGTGGGAAAGGCTGTCATATGGTGGCTACTAAGATTGAAGGTTCCTTGTTTCTTCTGAAAGTGTGCATAGCACTGCCCAGCACTATGAAAGCTGACCAGGAAGGGATGAAGCTTCTAGGTCAGTACCAGCTTGGTTTTTGCCATGTTTTATGACTCAGTGTCATGGGTGTCTTCATAATCGGTGTTACCATCAAGTTCTGGAGGGTAGCCAAGAGCAGTGGCAATGCCCGCAGTGGTGGCTTAGCCTAAAGGGACCATCATGGAAGGGGTCGAGAGCCAGAGGGTAAAATGACTACAAGGAGACGTTATCTTGTAGGCAGAGCAGGGAAGCTGCCCATAGGGACTCACAGTGGTTATGGCAGCCTGCATGAAAGCTGTGCAGACCCAAATCAGATCAAAGCCCAGCACGTGGAGGAGTCGTCAAGCACACAATCCCACCCCTAGCTGCAGAGCTATTGGGAACTGTTAGGTGCTGGACGTGGGAGAGTGCGTTTTCTCTAGGAGTGAGTGCAGCTCTTAGGAAGTCCGCCACACTCCACTAGAAAACCACACAGTCAAGACTATTTGGTCTTGCACACAGCACGGACTGTCTTGAAGTTGAGTGAGTAGAGAAGCTGGGGTAAATATGATCAAAACATACATGACACTCAAAAAATAAAAGTTTCCTTGACATCAAAGAAGCTTTTTAATTTTGTGAGATCCTATTTGTCAGTTGTTGGTATTATTTTCTGAGTGACTTTTTTTTTTCTCTTGCAGTTTTCAGTATTTTTTTAATTTTGTGGTTTCAGCTAAGAACCAGGAATCACCAGTGTCTTGCGGATAGGCTGCTGAGGGGGTGCCCGTGGAGCAGAGCCTTACCATGCATTCTCCAGCTCCATATGGTTCATCAGGTTCAAACACAGCATACTCCAGAAGAACCTTGAGCACATCTTACCCATACACCATATACCATTAGGTCATAGATGGCCGAAGTCTGCTCATGTGCAGGTGTATGGTGACCTGACCAGACACATTGCTTTGGCTCTCTAGGCTTGAACATCAAACCTGAACCACCTGGGCTGGCTCTAAAGATTCCACAAAGCTCAGGAGGAGAATTTTGTATTTCAGGTCCCAGACCATGTCCAGAAAAAAGTGTTCAGTTACCGAGGTATGAAGCTGGTCATGGTCTAAGTTGTTGAGACAAAGGTGAACTTCAGTGAAGATATCCTGAAGTTTTTCAGAGAAGCCCTTTGTTTTAAAATTAGTGTCAATTTTTTTTTTTATCTTTCACATTGGCAGTTGCGATACCATATTCTTTAATTGCTCAGTTCTCCTTTGGAAGAGATGACATTTGAGTATGTCACCAAACGCACCAGCTGTGTAGGTCAGATGTGAGGGATGGTTCATGCGGTCCTGAGGAATATCCCACCCTGCTTTCCTGGCTTATCCCAAAGCAGCTGCTCTGTATTTGGGTAAGATTGTGAAATGTTTCTGGTTCCCACTGGAACCACAGCTGTGGACTGAGTCACTACAACTGGCTGCTGAGATCATCATCCTAAAGCCCTAGATAAGCAGGACAACCCAAAAGTCATGGGGGCTGCTGTTCTTCTTCATGCACCCTAATCATTTTAAGAGTTTAGTGACATTTCATACATTTTTATTGTTGTTCAGCTATCAAGACCATCCATCCTGAAAAACGAAACATTGTACCCATTAAATAATAGTTCTGTATTGTTTTCTCACCCCAGTCTCACGCCACTGTCTATAAATTTGGTTACTCCAAGTATGTGATTTGAATGGAACTATCCAATATTTGTCTTCTTATTGCTGTTTCATTTCACTTAGACTAATGCTAAGACTTGCTCATATTGTAGCATGTTTCAGAAACTCCTTTTAAGAAAATGTTTTGAAACATGGTCTTACCATGTGACTGGGCTGGCCTTGAACTCATGACCATTTTGCTTTCACTTCCTTAAATGCTGGGGTTGCAGGCATATACCACTAGGCTCAGCAGCTTCCTCTTTCTGTAAGGCTTACTATTTAAATGTACATGTGTTTACACATAAATAATACGCCTCTTTTTGTTTAACCATTCGTCTCTTGATGCACATTTGAGTTGCTTTCTTCTTTTGAATATTATGAACAATGTTACTACAACTATGTACAAATATCTTTTAGATGAAGCGTATGTAAGTCATTAAAACTTAGTCCAAGATGATGTCACATCTTTTCAGAGATGCTGCTAATGGTCTCAGTGGGTGAAAAGTGCTGTCTGTGCAAGCGAGTATCAAGAGTTCAGATCTCCAACACCCTCGTAAAAGAGGAGGGATGTTTTATGCCCAGAGTCTCAGCTTTGGGGGGAGGGGGAGCAGGGATAGAACAGCCCTTGGAGCTTATTGGCCAGCCAGCCTAACTAAAATGCTGAGTCCCTCGTTCAGTAAAGACACTGTGTCTCCACAGAAGGTGGGGCACAGTAGAGGAAGGCAGTGAGTCACAACCTCTGCTCTCCACACGTGCACACAGGTGTGCACATGCATGCTCACATCTCCTGCCACACACACACATATTCCATACATGCTTACAGGTGTGTACATGCATACTCACCACATCTCCTGCCACACACACACACATTCCACACATGCACACAGGTGTGCACATGCATACTCACTACATCTCCTGCCATACACATACATATTCCACACATGCACACAGGTGTGCACATGCATACTCACCACATCTCACACACACACACACACACACACACACACACACACACACACACACATTCCACACATGCACACAGGTGTGTGCATGCATATTGCACCACTTCTCCTGCCACACACATACATATGCACACACACATTCACAGAATAAAGTAGTTATTATTATCATTATGTCTGTTTTCAAATAGGGAAACAAAGGCCTAGAGAATATAAATAACTAATGTGCTTAGGTCCACACAATATGTTAAATTTCCTTTTATTCTTTCATTTTTAAAACAGAGTCTCATGTATCCTAGGGTGACCTCCTAACTCACTGTGTAGCTGAGGGTGCCTTGACCTGATCCTCTGCCTCCACTTCCTGAGTACTGGAGTTAACAGGCACATGTACTATTTCAACTAATAAACCAAGTTTTAACTTCCAGTCCTAAGAAACCTAAACCTTGATAAGGGGTCTTGCTGTTCCTCATGCAGCAATTCACAAAGAACCACTTTTAATCTTTTCTAATTGTTATAAATATATTTACTCCATAGCCAGAGCCATTATTTAACCTGGCACTTGATAATTTTGCTGTATCATATAACATATTTCAAAATGAAGTACTTAAAACATGCATAAGTTAACCCATTGCCTTGTGCATGTTAGGAAATATTGTACCCCTGGCCTACTCTCGTAACCCATTACCATTTCCTGCTAACACAGTTGCAGTTATTATTGTTATTTAAGGTTTGTGATCTCAGTCTTGAGTTTTATTAATTTTAATAGTTTAAAATGTCTCCTTACTGTTTTCGGTATATTTGTATTTCAGTACTTGGAAAGAGGGAGGTATTTTATAGATCACATTTAGTTTTCTCTGTGTATTAGTAAGACTGTGGCTGGGAGGCTGGAGAGATAACTCAGTAGTGAAGAGTACTTGATGCTCTTGCAGAGGGCCCAGGTTTGATTCTAAGTACCCACATGTTAGCTCACAACCATTTGTAACTCCAGTTCCAGGGGACCTGACACAGGCTTCTGGCTTCCTCAGGCCCCAGGCACTCATGTGACCCACAGACATACATGGAGACAAAACACTCATATGCATAAGAATAATTAATAAACAAAAAGGAATTTGGCTGATTGTCCTGAATATCTAAGTAAAATTACAAGTGCTAAGTAAAATTACAAGTGTCTTTAGTCATATCATTATATTTATTATCAAAATGTTTTCTTATTTTTTTCTTAGTGGACAAGAAGCCTAAGAAATAAAGTCATCTGTCTAGACCACAAAAACAAAAAAGGTGTCCATGGGTATCCTGTCACTTCTAAGGCAACACCAGAAAGGTAAGATAGGTATTTGCGTGTGACATAGAATGGGTTATACAATGCATAAAGAGTGTGACTAGGAATGATTATTTGATGCTTGTTAAGTCTCAGTTAATATTTAAGACAGGGTTTGAACTCGATGTCCTCTAAGATTCCTTCTAAGCTGTAACTTTCTGTGATTATAGATGGTCTTTACTAATTGTTTTGTGCATTTGCAACATCTTGATAAGCTTTAGCTGACAATGTAAGGATTATAGACTGATAATAATTCTTGATTCACATTTTTGTAGTCAGTGGTTTAAAAGGCACATCATTCAGCAACTCTTGTGGCTAGGCATGTTCTTCACCTTCTAGAGATACTCTAGGTCATATTCCCAGGGTAACTAATGTTTAGTTGGAGGGTGTCTGCCTAGTGTGTCAGGATTACAGGAAGCAATCGCAGCACTGGGATCATTATTGGTAAAGGACATGTCATTGTGTCTTAGGGTTACTAACTGGGTTACATCATAGTTGCTATAAAAGAACACTGTGACCAAAGCCAACTTGGGGAAGAAAGGGCTTATTTGGTTTATGTTTCCATATTGCTGTTCATCATCAAAGGAAGTCAGGACAGGAATCCAAACAGGGCAGGAACCTGGAGGCAAGAGCTGATGTAGAGTCCATGGAGTGGTTCTGCTTTCTGTCTTGTTCCCTATGGCTTGTCCATTCTGCTTTCTTATAGAACCTAGGACCACCTGCCCCATGGTGGCCCCACCCACAATGGGCTGTGGCTTCCCACATCAGTCACTAAGAAAATGCCCTATAGACTTGCCTATAGTCCAGCCCTAGGGTGACATTTCTCAATTCAGGCTTCCTCTTCTCCAGTAACTCTAGCTTGAGTCAAGTTGACCTAAAATTAAACAGCGAACATTGGACTTTGAAAACCTCCTGTTGCAGATGTGGGTCTCAGGTACATCCCTGGAATGTCAAACTTCTTGGACTCTGTAGCAGCCAACAGTAGTTAGCTCTAGAGTTTAATACGTTCTTGGCCTCAGTGTCTTGACTATTAATCCCAGTTGATAAGATAACCCCTGGCCAGCTGCTTCTATAACTGCTTCCCTGGGTCCTCTTGTGGTTGTTACCTTTCTCAGGCCCCCATCGTAGCACAGTTTTTAATGACAGGTTCTCTCTCAGAATGCCTTCTGCAGCAGTCATCAAATCAAGTAGTAGAAAAATGGAATTGATCTTTGCTTGAGCTCTGCCTTAACCAAAACTTGCCTCTGGGTTTGAGACTTGTAGGGACTATGTATTTGAGGGTAGGATGGCCCATCTCTCAACCTTTGGAAGTGATATCTACTCTACCCTCCTCCGCCAGGAAGCCCAATGACACAGGAAGCCCAATGACACTGTTTATCTTACTTATCTGTTTGTTGTCTGCCTTTTTTTCCATACCTTCTGATACCATTTCATTTCCTTTCTGGATTTCTGAAGCTCTTTTTTTCTTTCAGTGTTTGGAATAGAGTCTGTTATTTCTTATTCTCTCCTTCCTTGGCTAAAATGAAGGTAGCTTCTAGTCCACCATCTTCCCTAGATGCCCCAAGTACTCCATTTTGATAGTAAGATAATTTCTTTTTTCTTTTTCTTTTTTGTTTTTTTTGAGACAGGGTTTCTCCATGTAGCCCTCACTGTCCTAGAATTCGCTCTGTAGACCAAGCTGACTTTGAATTCAGAGGCCCACCTGCCTTTGCCCCCCAAATGCTGGCATTAAAAGTGTGTGCCACCATGCCTGGATGTAAGTTAATTTTTTTATATTTATTTTGTGTGTAGGGCAGAGGTCAGAGTGTGCATGTGAAGGTCAGAGAAGAATATGCGTGCTACCACAGTCTCTGTGAGTTCATATGTGCATCAATCCTATTGTGTTTAGAAGACCTTGTTTCCTTGGTGTTCTTTATTCCCTTGGTTCTTACATTCTTTCTGCTTCCTTCCACAGGGTTCCCTGAGCCTTGAGGTGAGGGAATTGATAGAGACATCCCATTTAGGACTGAGTATTCCAAGGTTTCTCACAGTCTGCACATTGTCCAGCTGTGGGTTTCTGTTTATTTCTACCCCTTCAGGAGAAAGCTTCTCTGATGGCGAGCAAAACACTGATCTATGAATATAGCAGAGTGTTATTAAGAGCCATTTTATTGCTATTTTCCTTTAGCAGAACAATAGTACTTGGTTTTCTCCTAGGTCCTGGCCTAGCTAGTCTCAGGTTCATGGCCATCTGAGCACTGTCAGGGAAGGGTTCTACCTCACGGAATGGGCCTTAAGTCCAGTCAGATGCTGGTTGGTTACTTCCACAAGCTTCGTGCCACTGCTGCACTTGTGCATCCTGCATGCATGCTGCCATTGTAGGTCAGCGTGTTTACAGCAGGGTTGGTGTTTACCGTTCTTCTCTGGTTGTGTGCAGAGTACCGTCCAGTACCACAAATTCTAGTCAGTAGGAGTGAAGGCTCTAGGTGGGCACCAGCTCAACTTCTTCCTGTTCAGTGAGTTATATGGCATTATCTTCAGCAATAGGCCCTTTTTATTTTTTTTTGTAGAGAACAGCCAATGGCCTTGGCAATAGACTGTATTGTTTAGGGTATCCCATGGGGCCCCTTTGGCCAACAACTCAACTAGATGTAGTTCATCTTGACCTACAGGAGTCATTTGGTGATGAGAGCTGTCCACTTGGGGCTCCATCTCCCTTTTTATTTGGCAATTCCACTTAGATCACCTTCATACATGTATGTTCTAGGAAGATTTTACTATACTGGGTTTCCATATGCCCCCTCAAATGGCCCTTTGTTTCAGCTGTTTGTATTCTCTCCCTCACCCTCTTTTCCCCTCCTCCTGTCTGTTTGACCGTCCCATTCCATCCCTCCTCCCAATCCTTTCATATCTATGTATTCTTTTTCCTCTTCCTAGGGAGATCTGTCCTCTCCCTGTTTCCTTACTCTATACCTAACCTCAGTGGTTCTATGGATTGTCACTGAGACTTAACAGCTAACATCCACATATAAGTGAATATATACCATATTGTCTTTCTGGGCCCAGGTTATTTCACTCAGGATGATTTTCTTTCTAGCTCCATCCATTTACCTGAGAATTTTATTTATTTTTTAACAGTTCAGTAATGTTTTATTATATAAATATGCCACTTTTGCTTTATCCATTCAGCCATGGATGGACATATAGTCTGTGTAGTAGTTTGAAAGAAAATGGCACTATTAGAGAGTGGCACTATTACAAGGTGTGACTTTTTTGGAGTAGGTGTGACGTTGTTGGAGGAAATGTATCACCATGGCAGCAGGCTTTGGGGTCTCCTATACTCAAGCTACTCCTGGTGTCACAGTTGCTTCTGCTGCCTGCAAATCAAAATATAAAACTCTCAGCTCCTTTTCCAGCACCATGTCTCCCTGCATGCTGCCAGGCTTCCCACCTTGTCTTGCCATGATGATAATGGACTAAACTTCTGAAACTGTAAGCTGCCCACAATGAAATGTTTTTCTCTGTAACAGTTACTGTGGTCATGTTGTCTCTTCACAGCAGTAGAAACCCTAAGACAGCCTGTTTCTGACCATTATAGCTAGAGCAACAATGAACATGGTTGAGCCAGCATCTCTGTAGTCGAATGTAGAGTCTTTTGGGATGCACAAGTCTTGAATGTCCAAGGGTGGTATAGCTGGATCATGAGGTAGATGCATCCTAGCTTCCTGAAGAACTGGCACACTGATTTCCATAGTGGTTGTACAAGTTTGCACTCTTACCAGCAATGGATGAGTGTCCTCTAACTGCACATCCTCACCAGCATGAGTTGTTGTTTGTTTTATTGATCTTGGCCATTCTGTCAAGTATATGATGAAATCTCAAAGTAATTTTGATTTGCATTTCCATGATGTGCTTGAATTTTTTAGATTTAGCATTTTCCTTAACTGAGGAATTGAGTTATTCTATCTAGTCTTCAATGCCTGAGATTCTCTCTAACATGTCTTTTATTGTGTTGGTGAGGCTTGCCTCTGAGGTTCCTGTTTGAGTTCCTAAATTTTCCATTTATAGTTTCTCCTCAGTTTGGGTTTTTTTTTTTAGTGATTCCCTTTCCACTTTCATGTTTTGAACAGTTTTCTTCATTTCATTCCACTGTTTGTGTTTTCATAGATTTCATTAATGGATTTATTTGTATAATCCTCGAGCATACTCATAATAGCTCTTTTGAAGTCCTTGTCTTATTTTGCAGATATGTTGCATTTCTTGGGGCCTAGTGAAGTAGGGTTGCTGGGCTCCAGGGTAGATACATTGTTCTGGCCGTTATTGAATATGTTTTTGCACTGGAGTATAGGCTTCTGGGTTTGGCATGTGTCTTTGTTAGGGCTTCTATTGCTGTGAAGAGACACTATGACAGAGTGAGTTCCAGGACAACCAGAGCTTCACAGGGAAACCCTGTCTCAGGGGGAAAAAAAGTGGATCAAAGACCTGACTGTAACGCCTCAAGCGGTGTAACTAATGTGCAGCAGGGAAACATTTCAAATCACTGCCACCTTCAACCTCCCAGATAGAACCCAAAAGACAAAAGAAACTAAAGGAAAAGTGACAAACCTTCACCCTTACAGGCTAGCTTTCAGAGTGCTGAAGGTGCTCTGGCTGTCCTGGAACTCACTCTGTAGACCGGACTGGCCTCGAACTCACAGAGATCTGTCTGCCTCGGCCTCCCAAGTGCTGGCATTAAAGACGTGTACCACCACCACCTGGCTGTCTTTTATCCACTTAAGGTTGATTTTGTTTGTATGCTGTGGGAAATTGAGGTCAAATTGAAATCTCCTACATTTATATACCCAGTTTTGCCAGGACAGTTTTTTGAAGAGGATGTTCTTTCTCTAATGTTAGTTTTTAGTGCCTTTGTTAAGAATAAGTCTTAATGAATTAGTTTCCTTGTAGACTCTATACTCTCTTTCATTAAGCTGTCTGTTTTTACGTCAATACCTGTGGTATTTCAGTCACTGCGGCTCTGTACATTT